GCACGCAACTGAGACCAAGAAAAAGGCAAATGACACTGTTTAAAAATCTATTTGATTCTTAGAAGTTAATTTGGAATTCAAACTACAGTAATGTTAACCATCACAGGTTGCTATAAAAACTTGTGGCTGTTCATCCTACCCTAAATGATAAACAAAGCCCTGAAGTAAAAACCTAACTGAAAAGAAAAATCAAATGAAGCCACTGGTGGCAATATTCACTGCATTCTGTTTTTTATACAATTTCATGTAAAGCATGGTGTATTTTCATACTCCGAGAAACATGGAAATACTGCAAGTTATTTGAAAACCAAAAATGAGGTAAGATGATGTGTGTTCTAACTCCTTTGGGCTCCGTGAAGTACATACTACAGGGAAACTTAAACACGTTGTGACCAAATAGCATATTGAAGTCACAGCACTAACTGTGCAACTGAAGGAAGTTTAACCATATGAGAACCTCATTTATCACATTTTTCATCTTTTATTTAAGTATTTAGTGTCAAGATTTTCTGGTACCTAGAAACACACTTCAGCAAAATCTCCAGTTTCTTCAAACACAGTGACATGTTCTGTGTAAACCAGCAATCACCATGCACTAGCGTCAGTATGAATTTGAATGCTACATCCAAGAAGGAATGCCTAAGGAAAGTCTATGCAACTTCCAGTAATGACCATCATTTTATTTCTTTCTCCTGTTTTTACATTACAGAAGCGACATCCTCGTTTTTATTAAGAAAACGTGGAGGAAAATTCAAGTCGTGAAAACGAACTCAAATGATTGTATCTAAAAACACAGAGCAAACCATGGGCCAGCTGAATCTCAAGCACTTTCCCTGTCAATGCCTCCATATTAACATCTCACTTTTGAAAGCTGAGTTTGCCTGATTGATGAGATAGCTTTACATATTACTTTTAAAACCAGTGATCTAAAATGAGCACAAGGGACTACATTTGCACAATTCAGTGTTTCATGAAGGTTTAACAATATATTTTGTTAAAATATTCTTCCTAGAAACATTTTTAGCAAAGGAAAATGAGTCCTTCGACAAGTCTCCCCACACCCCAAATAACCAGATGAAGTATCTGCATGTTTTCTACTAAGCAAGTGATTCACATTCACTGGTGACTAGTTCATATAGGCAAACGTTAGAGTACACATTTTGGTTGTAGCTAATTGACTGCCTGCTAGATACATACATCAAACTGACCACATGAACCTGATTTGAAAGAATACAAAGTTAAAGGGCTTAAGCACCATACAAATGCCTTGCACTCACAAAATTCAAATACTTCAGTGAAGACAACTGAACTTGAATACACACGCGCTTACATAACACACCATGTTTTTCCACAGCTACCAGCATAATATGCCCTTAATATGTTCACTCTGTTCCACAAAGGACAAAATAAATCCCCATCAATAAAGGATTAAAAATGGCACAGGTCAATTCCTGTTAACTTTAGTAACTATCAATCAACACTTTGCCAAAAATAACAACAAAAAAATCTTTCCCTATGTGCTGTGCGTGCTTCCATTTCAGTTTTAAAGCCTTTCTGCTGATTCCACTCTGGAACACGGTGCTAAGTAGTAATCAGAAGAAAAATTATCTTGACTCCTTTTACGAGTTCAAGGAAGAAACTACAATGGACACATGACCTACTCATGTTTATTAACTTCTTAAAATATACATATATATCAAACCTTAAATGTTGTTATTTATATAACTAGACCGCACCCATCGCTTGGCGTATTTCGGTAAAAATTCCCCAGTCCTTTAACAAAAGTAACAAAAAGCACCACACAAATCATAACGGAAATCAAGAGACCTTTCATTTTGTTTTATATGAATTAGGTAAATCATAAGGTAGCAAATCTTAAACAAATGGAGGAATAATTAAAAAAAAAAAAAAAAAAAAGTAAAACCGTGGGGGGCAATTTGCACATTCTTAAAGCAATATTAAAATGTTGTAAAGAGGAAAACATTTCTTTATCACTACAAAAGTCAGCTGTTTGCCATACATTTTGTAGAGACCGATGCAACTAAAAGACCAACAAACAAAACCCCAAAATACAGATTAAAAGTAAAAATGTGAATCTCATTCTCAGTCAAGTTCTCGGAACTTCCATTGTGAATTTAAATTAGAATATGGCTGTATCCACAGGAAATCAGTCGTTTCAAATCCACTTATTTTAAAGGCCAACTCCCACAATTAAACACGTATTAGTTAATTGGTATGCAATTTAAGTTTGCATATCCAAGCATACCCGATGTGCCACAAATACACTTGAATTAGTGCACAGGTATTGGCCATACTGCGCCTTCCATGAAGCTGCATATCATCAGCTGCCGCTCTTTAAAGACTTGTGATACAGTGCATTCATTTTCGAATAAGTTTGATGCAGAATGTTTAAAATACATCTCAAACTAAAATGCAATGATTTTTAAGACAAAGATTTACATGACTAATGACCTAAAAATAACACACCTGTAATTTACAGTGCAGCAACAGAGGCAGCTACCTTTCACAGCTCAACACCATCCATATTGTTAAAAATCCTAAAATTACCTCTTTCGTCATTCAAAGAAAGAAGGGTCCCATTTATCACGTTTTAGAACGCTCCAACATTTATCCTTGAAGCAATACCTGAGCTCTGCTTAAGTCAGCTTTTTTTTTTTCTTTCTTTTCCTCCTTTAGACTTGCTTTTAAATACAGATAATAGAATAGCAAGTACTGAATGAAGACGGTTAAATACCACACGGGTTTCTCTGGTTCAGAAGGCCTCATTCCAAATCAGCAACGCTTAGCGCAGAACGCTTACTGTTTGACTGATGATTACTATCCGAGTATTTCTTTTTTCATTTGCCCTTGTACCAAAACACTACTTGGGTTGAAAGCTATTTCAGCTGGAAACATAATTTTATTTTAAGTTATCATTAACTTAAACTGGAGTAGAATCAAGCCCTGAAGCACAATAGCACATTTTTTAAAAAATCTGTCTTGCTCACACATCTTCCTGGAGAGAAACAGCATGCTAAAGCAACAGGAATTAAAAAAGAAAATCTAGCCCTTCTATACATTTTACACACTCATTACCTATGAATGGCACAGAAAAGACAACAGAGAGGAATAGATGAAACTGACATATAAAAGCCATTTACTTCTAAAATGTGATCAGATTTGTCTTCCTTTTTTAAGCTTGCACTGCTTTTTTTTTTTTTTATTATTTTTTGTTTTTTTTTGTTTTGCTAAGACATATTTCAAATAACATCAGTTTCATCAGAAATCCTACTTAATTAAAAAACAGTATTAATCATTTATTTTTGTTTTTACTTTAAACCAAAATTGACTTTGAATCAAGATTTCAAATGAATTACTACTTGCTTCAAAGTCCCTGAGGCCCCATTCCTTTTTTCCCCCCCCATGAAGAATAAGCTTTTCACTTCTATGAGGTATCCAACAGTTAGTTCTGTCGGCCCACATATAGTTGGCTTCTCTGAAAATGGAGAAATTTTTCAAAATCATAATTAAAAAAAATGCTTCTCCAGTGTCACAGGAAGTCCACCTTTTATTTCTCCCCCAGAAACTCAGAAAAAAAAAAAGTATTACAGAGAATTGCAAAAGATATATGTCACTAGTTATTTTACTCAAACAAATAACATATCAAAGCAAAAAAAAAAAAAAAAAAAAAGGATGAAATGAGCAAAAATGCCTCAGAACCGAAATATGTGCAGAAGGCATATTTCATGTCAAACTCAACTTCCATTTCTAAAAAGAGTTTCTCATTTCTACTAACTTGCATCGACCAATTGAGCAACTATGCCCCATGTGGGAGTACCTTACAGACGTTTTCTTAACATCTGCATTCTGTGTTAAATTCTAACTGAACAAGATGTCTGATATTTTTTCTTTATCTTGAACCTTCAAAGTGGTAGCTTTACCAGAGGCGAAACCACACACCAGAGAATATGAGTCATATAATAAAGAAACGACTCTTCCCCTTCTCCTTCCACCCTGGAGCTATAATAACCTAAAGACACTGTATTGTAAATGGCTTCTTTGGTAATACTAATAGCACGAACAACTCATAATCATGTAGCCAATAAATGAAGATTTTTTTGTAGTTCTTACTATATCCGTAACAAATTGCTCTTGATACATACTGATACATGCATACACATATAAGTAACTCTAAGGTCAACTTTAAATCGTGCTACTAGAAATATAATTTTCAATAATATTCATGTCTGTGCACTTGCTTTCATACCATGCACAAAATACAGAATCGATTACACATTTTTTCCATAAACAATAATGTAAAAAGCAAATGAAAGACATCAATTCGAGTTAATCCAAATGGTACCTCTAAGTTGTCTCAGAAGAGTAACCTCTATACAGAAATCCCTCCTTTGCTTACAATTCCATATCAAAAGATGGCAACGCTCACGTGCAATGAAACCACTGCTCAGGCCAACTACAATAAACAGATAAGGAAGCAAACCACCTTGCTCGACCACTGTTTACATGAATTTCCGCTCTGAAGTGCAATAATATGGAAAATACTACTGGGGGCACTCCATTCTTTTATTTCCTTTTATATCCTTTTCTGCAGGCGAACCGTAACTCCGCAGACTGACACCCAGCATTTATTTCCACATGGGAAAACAGCTTTTGACAGTCTTATCTGAAGCGTCAATAGGTACAACAGCATCAGAAATATTAAAGAGAAGAACTGGACACAAGAACAGCATTTACAAAGATCTGCAAATAAATCAGCAACAACAAACTAACGCTGAAAACAAACGCTAGAACAGGTGCAACCACCAAAGCCTTGAAGGAAAGTTAAGCCAGAGGTAATGCTGGCACGAGCTCTCCTCAGAAGCATCTTCCAAAAAGTAAAAGAAAACAAGCCACCAACAAAGCAAACAATGCATCAGCAAGTGAAAGCTAAGAGACGCATTCCCCCTTAATGCAGAATAAAGCTGTGTTTCTCTTCTTACCTGTGTATAGTCAAAGTCAGAAAGAGGAGCTATGCTCTTGATGTAGTCCATTCGAAATTGGTTTTCTGGGTTGGCCAATGGAACTGGGGGTATTAAAGTGCTCATAGCTGAAACTATAGTCTAGAATTGGATAAAACAGAAACAAACACATTAATCTGGATAAATCTAAGATGCGGGATCAATAGAAGATAATCCAATCTGATCAGCAAAATAGGATTTCTCTCTGCACAATCTTAGAGAGCACAATTCTGACAATTTCCACTACGCCCAAGCATTTAAGAACAGTATAAAGTGTGTTCTTACCACAATCGCATCTTTAACATTTTTCCGAATATCCAGTATTTTCTGTTTCTTTTCTCTGTGTTAAAACAGAAAGATTAACACTTTGAATTTGATTCCCAAAGCACTTCAGTCACTCGCATCTATTTTTTTTTTCCTCACTGATCGTTTGTTTATCTGCTTTCCAATCGCTATACCAACTAATTGAAAACAACAGCAAGGCAAATATATCTTTCTGCTTATTCCTTTTCTCGCACAGTACGAAGAGCAATGCCCATTCATCCCTCACATTTTCTTAAACCAGAGGATCGCAGCCACATCTGCAGAGCCTCCCCTGACGGAACTGGAAATCATTCTCCCGTTTTATTCATTTCCACGGCATGCTGCGGACATTCACTAAACGAATAATGCACAGCTGAAAGTCAGCAGATATCTGAAATTAATGCTATGGATTAATTGTGATTTCCAGGAAAGGGCGCTTGAGAGAGAAAATGATGCACCCTCAGAAATCAGGGTGATTTCTAACAAACGTGCCAAATTAGTTTCAGTTTTACGCTAAGCCAAATACCGGAAAAACAGCAGCCGCTGTCATCCTGAATGCGGCTTGACATATATTTTTGTATTGCAGACAGATGCAATATTGAGTTATTTGCTTCTATGTAAAAGTAGTCGCCATGTTGTTGCTACACAGGGCCTGTCAAGCGCTGCAGTAGCAACAGTGTAAGGTACAGCGAGGGGGCCAGGCGCAGAAACACAAACAGGCAGCAGCAGCAGCAGCAGCAGCAGCAGCAGCAGCAGCAGCAGCAGCGATTTCCTTATTCTCGCTCCCCTGTCCCCCTCCCTCCCCAAAACGCAGCGCCGAGCCACCGGAGCGGAGGATGCGGGCAGAAATTTCCCGACCTCAACCAGCTCCCAGCATTTAACGAAAAACAAGCCCCGGAGCGCCGGCGATCCTTACTCTGAGTTGAACCCATTGACGTGCAGGATCCTCATCTGTTTCACGATGGTGCTTTTCCCCGACTCGCCGGCCCCTGCAAGAGAAGGGAGAGGGCGCGCGGTGACACGCGGGCCGGGCTGCGGGCGCGCAGCATCTCCCACCTCCGCCGGCATCCGCGGGTCGCGGCGCGCCCGGCCCGGCCCTACGCGGAGCTCGGGCAGCTCTCTGCCCCTCCGCCCCCCCCTCACCCCCCCCGTCCCTGCCCTGCCCTGCCCTGCCCCGCCGCCTTACCCAGCAGAAGCAAGCGGTGCGTCGCTTTGTAAGCCAGCCGCTCCTTCTGCAACTGCTTCTCTATTTTTTTGTTGGCTTCTCGCTGCGCTTTCTCATCGATACGCTGATCCTCCGTTTTGCTGTTGCCCAGACACCCCATCGCCGCCGCTCGGGAGGGATGTCAGGCTGCTGCCTGCGCGCACCGGGGTCTTACGGGGGGAGAGGGGAAGGGGGCGGCGAGGAGCAGGCTTTAAATCCCGATATCTCCGCGGCGCTCTCTCTTCGCTTCTTCCCCCCGCTTTGCTCAAATAAAATGGTCTCTGGCCGCTCTCTGATCAAAACAGAGTTTGTTTGTTTTCCTCCCCAAGAGGGATGCGAGGGGCCGAGGTGGCCGTGCCGAGCCGGGAAGGGCGGGGGGAGAGACCCGCGCAGCAACGCCTAACGAGCACCGAGGGGAGCGGCGCGGCGAGGCGAGGCGAGGCGGGCTCCTCCTGGCAGCAGCCCGGTGCCGCTCTCCCCGCTCCCTCCCCGCCGCACGCGCGATCCCTATATTTCTCCGTGAAGGGCTATTTTTGTCTCTCGAACTCAGCACTGCCTCTCCCTGCCAGACCAGGAAACGGGCAGCTCGCAGCCCCTGCGCGCGGGGAAGGCGGGGGAGAAAGGTGGGAGCCGGACCCCGGCACCTGAAGCCCCGCCGGCCCGAGGCCTGCCGCCTCCGCGGGGCCCGCGCCCCCGCGCCCGCCGACCCCCGCCGCCCCCGGCCCCGCCGCGCCCCGCGGCCCTCGCCCGCCCGCCGGCCCTGCCGCCGCGAAAACCTGGAGCTGGCATCCGCCGCCCGCTGGAGGCAGCCGGCGCGTCGGCCCGCGGCTCCCGGCCTCCTCCTCCCGAGGAGGCGGCCGGCCGCCCCCCGCTGAGCCCGCCCCGCCGCGGGAGCGGCGCCCGTAGCACCGCGGCCCCGACGACGCGCGCCGCTCGGAGAGCCGCGAAGGCGCGGGAGCGGCGAAGGAAGGGTGAGCGCGGAGCCTCCCGCGGCTCGAAATACCGGCACCCTGAATTTCCGAGTACTGCTATTCCTCCAGACTGCCGAAGCTGCGCTCCCGCTGTGGAGGCGCAGACGATGAAGGAGAACAGGCAGTCCTCCACCTGTGCTTGCCTCTGTTTTCAGGAGGCACTATGGCACCCAGGTGCCAGGTACCTGTGCTGATGGCCCTGCTTGGTCTAGAACATGGACACTCTTTTGTTCTCCTCCGTGCCGCTCCTCATTGCTGTTTCCTTTTCCTCCCTGCACAGGCAGTGTGTGTGTGGGGAGAATACTACAGGTAAAAATCCATAGGTTCTGCTGGGCCAAAATATGCGCTTGTTAGCATCAGACTGCCCATTTTTTAGAACCGAACATTTTTTCCCCATTTCTATTTTCCTGTCCTCTGACACAGGTGGGACTGGAAGCACAATTCATGCCACCTGCAGTTTTTGGGGCTGCAAGGTGAACGGCTCAAGGGAGGAGACACACAACTTGCTGCTCTTGCTGGCAGAAGGGATAGGATAGGATGCACAAGATGAGTGGAGCCATATTTATTTCCTATTTCAATGCTTAAGTTTTGCTATGTTCCAAATCTGCCTGGTTTTGGCCTTGTTTCTTCCCCCAGCTCCTCCTTAGCAGTTTTGTTCCTGTATATACTAAGGTGGGGATATTTGGTGCAGGTTTATTCCTAGCTGAGACAAGGCTTGGGGCCAACAGGACTTGACAGGATCATGGTATATCCTGCTTTTACCTTTCTCCAAAAGAGGGAAAGTGTTTCTCATTTCCTCTCTCCCCCTCGCAAACCCCATGACCCCTTTGCGTCTCTTCCTCCTGAAAAAAGATCACACAGTTGAAGAATGACACGTGCAAGCGACCTGTGCTCAGAAACAACTTTTGGCTGTAATTATATTTGCACTCTTCCTATTTTTTTTTTCCTTCCCAAACGCAGAAGTCCTTATTCTGGCACATTCAGAACTACAAAATCCTAGAAATAACAGCAATCACAGAAGCAGCTCTCACCCTCTTTGCACACTGCACATTCTTTTTTCCCCAGAGAGAAATCAAAGTTATCACATGCATGTGTGTCTTCTGCACACAGAAAAACCCAACTGTGAGCCTAAACAGGATGCTATCAACCTGCCTCTAGAAATGGTTTCAGCAATGCTGTTTTAGGAAATAAGCTTCTAGAACAAATCATACATGGATAAAAGCCAAATCTTGGGAATCCAAAGAAAAGGAAATTCTCCCTGCTCTTCCCAGTCAGCCAACATGGCATCCTCCTTGTCAAGTTCATGGTCCTCTTGAAAGCAAGATATTTTGCACTGCTCCTGCCCTGTCAGATCGTTACATATATCTATATAAGTATGTATATATAAAAACTCATGTCCCACTCTCCTTTGCAGGTTCCTACTCAGGCTGAGTGCTGGTGAGCCCAAGCTATAAGCACAGAGATTGTGCTCATACATTTGAGTGGAAGAAAACTGGTAACTCAGCTATTGCCCCTGCCACAGAATCTCAGAGCAGCTTCTTTTGCCCATTCTGTTTGGACTAAATTGTCCACAAAGAGGGACAAAACTCAGTGGGAACCAGTAAGGATGGTGCTCCTACAGATACAGCTCCACTGATGCTGTTGCTCCTTACTCCTCCAATCATTCTAAGGAATGATGCAGAATATTTTCTTGAAAACATTATGTAGAGGCAGAGGAAGTTTTTCAACAGAAACCCTGCAGACCCTTTGCAGGCCGTCTTCCCTTATAAAGTCCCTTCTGTGGCTTTTGGTCTGTTTCTCAAAGACAAAGCAATGAAGAAATGGATGTTAATAAAAGCTTTTGGGGGAGCTAAGCAGTGGGAAAACAGACTCTTCCTGCTTGTCAGTCTTCCTGCTTCGGCTTTCACAGGGGTCTCTGACCTCCGTACTGTCACTGTCCTCAAGTCTGGGCACTGCACTAGCTGGCTAATGCTGCGTGACCTGAGCTGCCTCTCCTCACTGACCTTTCTTTTTCATGCTTTTACTCCACCTCATTTCAAACCATAGTCTGAAAAGAGAAAAATAAATGGTTATTTGCATAGGTATTCAAGAAAAAATAATTATTTCTCCCTGGTAATAAATTCTTGGTAAGTTTGTCTCCCTGCAGCTGTCAAATATTAACACAAAAGTACACACTCTCTGGAATGCTACATTTGGATTTTTGTAAGATACATGAACCAGGAACCTGAAAAATTATGACTCTGGCTGTATGAAAAATACTGACTATGGATCTGGTAAATACACAGCACACGCTATGCAGAGAAGTAAATGCCACAGTAAAAAATCTAACCTTTTGCCTTGTGTGTTTAAACCTGTCACCTCAGAGAAGTCCTTATAAAAACTTGGAGGGGAGCTCTTCTCCCTAATGAAGAAGGAAAAAGTCTGAGTCCACACTCACTCCGAATAGACCTCATTCCATGGATTAAGGACAAACTCAGCGATGCAGGAAAGAGTCAGCCTCAGGAAGGGGCAGTTCTGGGGCTCCCTGACCCAGCTGTAGCGTCCCCATTCCTATGCCACACTCCTCCAATTACCGCCAAATCGCTGGCCTGGCAAAGCAGCTCACCCCTCTGCTGTTCCTTTGTGAGGCACTGAAGAGCACAGGTGTGCACAGCAAAAGGAAGGTGAAATGGTCTGGTGGAAGTCCATGGAGTAAAAGTAATAAGGTTTGAAAATAAAGCAGAGTTTTCCAGAGAAAAACTGCAGGTAGCAGCCAGCAGAAATGAGGATGATAGCCTTTTGCTCCAAGAGAGCAGTTGTGAAGGGAGGCATTCGCTCCAAGAATCATAGAATCATAGAATCATAGAATCACCAAGGTTGGAAAAGACCTAAAAGATCGTCCAGTCCAACCGTTCACCTATTACCAATAGCTCCCACTAAACCATGTCCCTCAACACAACAGAAGCGTGCTAGCAGGCCAGATGCACCACAGATGCCTGCACGGAACAGCATCAGGTGAAAAGCAGCTGTGTGGTATGATCACATTAGAGAAAGAGGACAATCCTCTTTCACTCGAGCTGGTTATTCCTTCTCCAGGGTAGTTACTCCTTGTCCACATCCTGGAGGAAACAGAGAATGGGAAATGCCTGGTGGGGAAATCCCAGTCAGCTCAGTTGATGTTCAGAGTGGTAAGACAATTCATGTGCTTATGACTTGGTTTTTCAGACTAGAAATCCCTTTCTGCAAAGACAGACTCGCACGGCAGCACTGCACACACTTCCATCTGTCAGTACTCCAAGCAGAAGTTGCTGACTAAGACTGAAATCCAGCAAGGGCCTAGTCACATTGAATAGGCTGAGTAACCTTGTGTGGTTCAATTACTACATATTACAGTCAAGTAATACTGTTAAGCTACATGACACAGAAGCTTTTGCAATGAGCAAAAGGACAAGCTCTCATTTCGTGAATTTGAGACCCTCTATTATGGGATATGTTGCTGGTTAGAAAAACAGACACTTTCATGGCAGTATCCCCAGTTATGAGAGGTTTTCCTTGATTTGGGTCTCTAGCACATAAACAAATATAGAAGTATTGCTAGAACTACTAGTACTAGCTAGAAGTACTAGCACTAGCTAGAACTACACAGTACAGTGCTAGAATTATCGCTGTGGTTGCTACTTGAAAAGCTAGAGGAAAGATATCTATATGGGGACATGTCCTGGATTCTCTGCAAGGTGCTGACTAACACCTTGCACAGCTGTAACAGTGAAACTGAATAATTTATCTTCAGTTTATAATGAATTTTGTATATGATAAAGAATTCTGAATGTCATAGTAAATGCTCCGGTTGACTATCATGATCACCCCATTTGACCAGAAGTGAGAAACTAGGGAAAAAATATCTGTTATGACACTGAACATATTGAAGACATACCTTAGCATCACCTCTAACTCACATGTTCTGGCAGAACTGTGACAGTCACAGCATATTCTGACACCACCTCCATTTATTAGGCCACATTCTGCTAAGATAGCTTGTCACCACATTTACCACAATCACATCCGATCTGTAAGTTATGTGTGCTCGTATCACCTCTCATCTTGATGTAAATACAGAGATACACTTCAGCTTTTTGCATTTTAGCTCTTCTGCCTGAGAAATTAAGATAATTAAGGCTGACATTTTTATAAAAAAAGTCTCTACCTAGTCATGTTATTGATGCCCAAATTCAAAGTCATGCTGTAAATCTTCAGGATGCTGTAATAGTCAACAGCATCCCCCAACAAATTAAGGCAATCCTCTTATACAGGTCTGTTCACACGATTCAAGGAATTGAGCAACTAATTTTTTAGTAAGTACACATTAATGCATCTGCAAGACCCAGAACCACTGCTAAGTTCAAAGTAAGTCTATGTTCAAACCATGCTTAAGGATCCCTACATGTTACTGCACACGAGTAATTGGTAAAAATGGCTTCAGGAAATAACGTTGCCAGGCTGTGTGTAGCCTCATACCCTGATCTGCTTCAGCAGTCTTTATTGCAGGAATACAACTTGTGCTTCACTGCATGAGTCTGGACTAGTAAACCCAGATGAAACATCACAATCACTGACTAAATACGCAGTGTTTTTTTCCTCATTCATCTATCTTATCTTACCCCACACATTGCTTGTAACACATACTTGTTGTGTTATGCTCAGCTTGGCCTTCTGTGGTATAGATCTTAGGATTGTTATAGATATTTGTGTGTAAAGCATATGATCTCTTGGATTAAATAGCTATCACATGTTTGCTTGTAATTGAAGGGACATGACTTGTTGACCTAAGCAGTCTTTTCTAAAACCAGGTTTATGCTGGAATTCAACTTCTGTGCTTTCCAGACGTGAATTTCTTGGACAGCTGAAATAGCAGATATGAAGACTACTTACATGAT